AATTCTTGGCTATGTCATGATTTCTTCCTGCATTCCAGTGTCTAGTGGCTTTCCGAGCAGTTCCTCACTAACTTTTTTTTGTGTAATCCACTGGAACCTACTTTCCATATGGGTCCCCCTCCACCCCTGCTCTTTCCAGCACAAACCCTCTTCCACTGGATGGAGTCTGGTTGTCTGCTACATCTCACTTCTGTCTGTGCTTTCCTTCAGAGCGCTTAGTCAGGTTATATATTTGCCTCTTAATTATCATTTTGTGGTGTGATCAGACTAGCTCTCAACTCCTTTCATCCCCATTGCTCCTATGCAGTCTTTCATAAGGGGAATTTGGGGGATCATCAAAAAGCTTGAGTGTGTGAGTAAATCCTCCTGTTCCATATGACCACAAATATGGCAGGAATCATTGTACATTCTGCTGTTTTGTTTTTTTTTTTTTAAAAAAAAAAAACTTGTATTATCAAAGCTAGAAAAAGCCATTCCAAATGCTTTTCCTCTGATCGCAGATATTCTATACATGTGTCTCGTGGCACCCCAGAGAAGCTGGGATGGGAGGATAGTAGGAAGCGTTGCCCAAAGATAAGAGTTCTTAGCTTACCTCAGTCATACATTCAGAGAGTCCCCGCTTTCACACTTGATCTCTCTCTTCTTAATGAGATTGATCTTGAATAACTTTGGCTGTGAAAAGAAAATTCAAGCTAGTTTTTGTTTTATAGATATTCAAAATAAGTGATGGGAGAAGTATGGAATGGGGGGGGGGAGATTATTCATGGATCTCACAGGGAAAACGTCTCCTGGTTTCAACACTTTCCCTTCTTTCCTCCCAGCTCCAAGTCTCAGCAAAGTATACAGTTTCCAACTCTATCACATTTTCAACATGTTGAGGTCCTTCTGAGACTGCACCACATGGCTCTCCCATTTGTATCTTGCTAACACAGTGTTTGTCTAAGATTGCGCTCCATGTCCTAAACCATTTTCATTATCTTTCTTTCCATTGTGCACACAGCGCTAGCAGAAACTTCATTGCTACCTTGAGAAAAGCCCCGTGGTCTACACATCTTCTCCACGGAAGACTTCCTTTAGTTTTTACACAAATTATGCTTTTTAAAGAAACTATATAAATACATAACACAAAAGAGTACATAAATAATGATCTGAAGATAATCAATCATGACTCTTGCTGTCCTCATCACATTTCCTACCTCAATATGCATCTGGAATGCTTTAACCTGCTAGACTTGTACATTTTTATCAGAAGCTCAGGATCTGGGACAAAGAAAAAAGTGACAGTACAATTCTAGAATACTATTTCTTTTTCTGTGCAACTAGAAACCTCTTGTAGGCCATAGAGATTTTAATTCATATCTCAGTGATATCACATTCCGGCATGTAACCTCTGGCTAGTCATTTTCCATCTCTGAGGCTCAATATCACGAGAGGAAAAAGCATGTGCCTTCTATAGATTATTGAAAAAGCAATATGAGACAAGTTCTGGCATAAAGTAAGTGTTCAACAAATGATCACTACATGTTTCCACCTGTAAGTGATTATTTCTATACTATAGTTCTGGCCCTGGTAATCAGATAAGGGCTTATCTATGGGTTCAGTAACAAGTTTGCCTCTGACAAACACAAAACTAGCTAGTTTATCCAATTTCATTCAGCTAAATAAACTATATACTGAGTTCTTAATATCTGTGAGACACAGCATCATCCCTAGGCTGTAAGAAATAACAGATAGTTAGTTCTTGCCTTCAAGGGACTGACAGCATAACCCATACCTGAGTTAAGAGCTTACACATTGTAAATATCTCTAAGAGAGAAAATCTCAGCACACATTCAAGTATTAGTTCTTTGAGGACTGAGAGAGTGGGGGATATCTTCTCTGTTTCATAGTCTAGATTGTAGAATGAGTGTCCAGTTGGTCACCTTTTCTCTCCTAAGCCACTACTCTCTGAGAGTTATTGGGCTGTTCCTCTATCTTCCCCTTCTGCATTAAATGATTCCAATCTTTCAATGTTCCCTTGGAGGTCCTATCTGCCAGCCTTCAGTGTAATCATTTTCACTGCTCCCCTCTGGAGTTGCTCCAAGTCCTCTATATTCCAATGTGTTTCTTTGTCATTGAGTTCGGTCTTCTGAGCAATTTATCCCTCCATATAGACAAAGGAAAAATGGAAGAAACCTCTAGATAGGAGGAAGGTAAGTAGAAGTAAGGATGATTGCCTAAATAAGGGATAAGGAACTCATGGAGAATATTCACATGCTCAAAGAGAATTAGCTCTTACTGTCACCAGTAAGGGGGGGCAGGGAGGGTGCTAAAACCAGAACAGTTTTTAAATAGTGCCAACCACTCTACTCACAATTATCTAAATTGCTTTTAAGTATATGACTTTTAACAGCATACTTTGAGACTTGCTGTGGTTACCTATGAGCTAATCAGAACAAGAACAGAAAGACCCCTGACGTACAAAAGTTAAGGAAATCAAACAAGAATGCTGGATTTGGTAAAATGCCTCTGGCCATCAGGTAGACAGCTGATCTCTTACTATGGCATTCACAGGCAACGGCTTTGTCCAGTCTTGGCACCTGCAAAAGATCTTTCATTTGTGTTCAATCCATCAACATAATATTTCTTGGGCTGAAAGTGCAACAAATTCTAAGGGACTCTTAAGAAATGATAGATAGAGGTTAATCAAATGCCTGCCGATCACAGCATGCTACCAACACAGGTAGCAAGGAGAAAATACAAAAACAAAGCTCTAGTAAAATATCCCTTCTAGACATATATAGCAACTTGCAATTAGTCTCTTTTCATATAGTCTACCTGCCTTCTGTTATTGTGTCAGTGAGTTTTCCCAGCATTCTGAGAGACAGCAGCACATCTAAGTATGTGTGTATACACACACACACACACACACACACACACACACACACACGGAGGGGGGGGGGCTGTGTTTCTTCCATCACATTTCCAAATCCTCTAAAGAAGCAGTGTAAATTCCTACTAGTTAATAGTCTGTCTGTTGACTGCACATTTTTGTTTTTTAAACCATGATTTAAAAATGAAATGCTTTCTTTCCCCTACAGGAAAAGCTAAAAATACCTGCTGAGAGTAAAAGTCTTGCTTGTGTGTTTATGTGGGGAACAGGGAGTAAGCATTAATCTCTGTGCTGACTCCAGACAGACAGTGTTGGCCAAGTCTAGTATTGTTTCTAAAGCTACTTGGGTCCCAACAAGACCCTTCTGCCCTAAAACTCATTAGGCTGGCAGTTGTCTGTCAGGAGACAGCTCTGAGCAATAGGCATGAGAGAACAAGCTACACGATGGGACACCCTTCCTGCCAAGTTTTCCAAAGACCCCTCAGATCTAGGTTCAGAAGAAACTCATGTTTTGGTGTTGAATTGCCCCCACAGAACTGTAGTTACACAAGTAGTAAGGTCTATCAACTAATTCCTTAAACCCTTGGATAAATGCACTTAATATTGCAATTGTGAAATATTCAACACTTGAAGATGACCAAGAACTTACCACAGAATCAGAACAAGAAAAAGCCTTGTGGATACAGGGAGAATATCATGAGATACTTAATTATCCCCAGAGTTGAGCTGATCCATCACTCCTGCTCTTGACAGACCCCCATGTTCATCCATGGACTCTAGATGCTTACAGCAGAGTGAAGGAAAGGCATATGAACACAAATACTGTTGGCGGAGTTACACAATGAGAAGCTCTAAAAGAAAGGGTATTAAAGATGTGGCATGCTAGTTGTTCCTTAACAAATATGCATCATAACTCAGTAGTTATAATTTTTGCAAAAGGAAGCCTCCATTAATGAACTGGCACTACAAATACCCTCTGATTTCATTGTTTGGCAGTAAAGAAAGTCTTATAAATTCTGAACAACTGTTGAGAAAGTGAAAGTAGGCCATTGATAGTGACATGTCACCAGATTGCCATGTAGTTAGTGATTATGGCAAGTAGCCAAAACCAATGGCTTAAGGAATTGTTACTGGACGCAGCCCAGCATTTTCTTTTTTACCCAAATGTGTTCTTCATAGACTTAACACCAAAATAACTCCTAAAAGCCAATAATTTGCACCATCCCTCTGCAATCCACCATGCCTTGAGAAACCATTTTTTAGTACAATTTCAACTTTGGAAATAACTTTCAAAAGAAAAAAAAATGTGAGAATTGTTCATTAAACACACACACACACACACACACACACACACACACACACACATCACCTCTCTAGAGTAAGCAGGGGTCATCTGCTATATAGCTTTTTTTGAACCTGAAAGATTAAAATAAAATTCGTGTTGACTTTCAAAAGCCAACCATTCGGGTCACCCTTTTTTTAAAAGAGGGAAAAAAGTTAGCCAGCAGATTAAAGGAACTCCATTTATAAAAATCAAATGAACCTCCAACAAAGCTTGTTTGGGGACATGAATAAATCATCCAGCCATGAATTATTCATTGTTATCAAGAAACAAGCTGGGGATTCCAGGAACCAGGCAGGATCTGGGGAGTGAGCAAATTCATAGTCTCACACCCTCCACAGGAAGAGACTGGACCCCTGCTATAGGTACTGTCATGTGAGGCCAACTGTGCCAATCCTCCATTCATGGGAAACTTTGCCACTTTTCCACCCAGAGGACAAAGAAAATAGTGGTTAATCCATAATGGACTCAGTAAGCAGACAAAAAAACAGGGTCTCTCCCCCCTCAACCCTTTCTGTCTGTCTCTATCTCTGTCTCTGCCTCTCTCTCACACTCTTGCTTTGTCTCTCTCACTTTGATATACGTAGCAAATATGAGATGTATACTAAAGGTCATGGGTTCACAAGCTTGAAACGGAAGAGACTGACTGGAAAACTGCTTGATGTCAAGCTGTTGGCCCAGTCTGACCTTCTCATTCACGATTTGGAGGTCTTGGGAAAGAACAGGAGAGGATGGAGGGGAGGCTCCCAGATTTAATGCACTAACCGATGCATGTATGTGTTCCAGGTCCAAACTGCTTTGCAGGAACTACAATAATTCCAGCTGGCATTGAAGTGAAAGTGGACGACTGTAACATCTGTCATTGTCACAACGGGGACTGGTGGAAACCCGCTCAGTGTTCAAAGCGAGAATGCCAAGGCAAGCAGCCTGTGTAGGGCAAATTCCCAAATGATGACAAGTTCCAGGAAGGGGTGCTGTGGTTTCTACACGGCACATGTCTAACACTCAACAAAATGAGCGAACAAACTCCCGCCAGCTACAACAGGGTCACCAGCAAAACCTTCTGGGGTTGACAAAAGTGATTGTTTTACCAAGAGGAAAATTCTATCTCTTTCTCTTGCGATATAAAATATATATAGCATCCAGCTATCTAAACCACTTTTGTAATGACCAGTGCTTGATGGTGACTTGACGACCAAGATTTCTGGGACAAGAAAGAATGAAAAACCGCCTTGGACAGGCTCCTTCCCAGGTGATGCCTCTGACCTGCCAGCTCATGTCCCCTGATTTCCTCCATTTTTATTCGGCTGTGCATAAGACACTTTTCTCTTCTGTGTTTTCTACCTTTGGAATCTAAAGGGGTCAGATTTGACTGCTCAGTAAAGATTTGTGTTGCGTCTGAAGTGTCTGATAAAGAAACGATGGTGGGAAGTATCCTTCCAGAGGGGAAGATGAATGAGTGACCAAGCTGTGGCTCCCTTGGGGGCATTATCATGTCTGTAGGCTGAGAAACAGAGTAGTAAGTAGACTGGCTCCTCTGCAAACCAAGTTGAGGAACAACTATTTTGTCCACTATGTTGGGGCTCACTGTTGATTCTTACAAACCACACGTTTCATACATAAAAACTTTGAAACTGCCAATCAGAAACAAGTAGATGAAGAATGCCAGGATTTGACTGAAGAACCCAAAGAGACAGGTATTTAAAACTCTAGCATTTAAATCACCAGACTTCTTCATGATGCCAGCCTTGAGCCTGGTTTATAATTAAACATAACCACAAAGCCCACCTTGTCATCAGGCAATATAAATACCAGAACCAGGGTGAGTAGCCCCACTGTGAATCAATCTTTCTAAACACTTCTAGCTTTCAAGTTCCAAATTGGCTGAAAGGCAATCCTATACACAGCAGTTTTTATGGTTTGGGACTGTGTTTACCATGTTACAGTAACAACCACTCAGCCCTCAATCTAAAATCCAGATCCAGGACACTTTCCACCTTAAGTGCTGATGTAAATTAAAGATTAGGGTAGAGTGAGTCTTGCACAATACAATGTCCTTAGTTGAACATTTTTAATGTATATATTAGATACTTAACTATTAAAATGAAACCTTTGAAGAGTCTCAAGGTTGCCCTGGTAATGCTGCTAGTATAATAACGGAAAAAATAATAATAAAAGAAATACACAGGGTATCTGATGCCACCTCCAGTCAAGTGCAAAATTCACAGTTCTGAAATCCCATGACCCAGTCACTTACTCCACTATCCATGCCAAAATCCCTGGTGCAGATCTGAAAGGGAAGCTTCAAAGTTTTCTTCATCTCCAGTTGTCTTTTTTGTTTGTTTGCTTGTTTCCTGTTTTCTGCTGCCAAAGCCAGTCTGGGTTTCATGCGGCTTCTGTGTAGAACATATTACACAGAAGGATGTCTCAATCTCAGTCTCTGACATTTGGGGCCAGATTGGTAGGGGCTGTGCTGCACACTCTTAGGATGATGCTAAGTGGCTTTCCTGGATAGCATCTGCTTGGTTCAGGAACATCCACTTAGTTATATCAACCCCAAATCCCCAGACATTGCCAAAAGTCCTCAAGGGGTATGTTAGGGAACAAAATTTTACCTGGCTGAGAATCTGTGTCATACATCGGTATTGTTTCTGCCACATGACATGCCAGGCAGCTCCAACTGCACACACATGGCTTTTTGAGCCCCTGAGTCCTTTGGATCATGCACAAACAGCAACCCCACAGGTCTATCTCCTCCCTATCACATGGCTCTTCTAAGACCCACTTTCTGGACACCATTCTCTTTATTCTCATAAATTAGTTTTCTCACTTAAAGTTGTCGGCCTCTCCTCCCTTGAAGCACCACCTGCCATCAAGTAAGAGTTGTCATTTCCAAAATTAATGTGCTGACGAGCCAGACCTGACAGTTTTACACACACTGTGCTTGTGTTATGATACAAATAACCATCCTGGTGCCATCTGAGGAAGAACATCCAGCCACCTTCCTTTAGAACACCAATTTGCTGCAAGGTTGGTGCCTTTCAGTTGCCACTATGGATACATCATAGAGACAGCCATGAATCATTCATGAGCAATTCTGCATGATTTATGCCTAGACTCAAAAGCAAAGGCACTGCACACTTCAGCCTGTGTCTAGACAAAGTCGTACTATACAGCTTTCTTAGCCCTGGAGGTTGTCTATTGACAGTCCCCAAAATCCACATTCTTGAAAGGAAATAATAATAATAAAAGTTATTATTATTATTATTATTATTATTATTATTATTATTATTATCAGGAATAAGGTCTAAAACTGAAAAACAATTCACTAATACAGCCATGTAGCATAGACCTTTATCTATTATTAAGGAATTCCTATGTCCTTGTTAGAAACAAAGAATGTGCAACTTGGAAGCCAAGGTATAAAAATTTTGCATCAAAGTCTGAGTCCACTGATTCTCACAGCAAGGATTCGGTGGATAGAGTGTAACAACCATCAAAACTCTTCAGAGAGTTCACCACTAGCAGCCATTCAATGGCCTCTATAACAGACTCGAGAAGGGGGTTTTCATCATTGTTCATGTTGGGTTAGGCCTGGTTTCTTTTGTCTGTTTGGTTATTCTTTTGGTTTTTCTGTTTCACTACAATGTTTCTCTCAATACTCCCAATCACCAATGCTTTCCCACTTTTAGGGAAGAACAAACCTATACTGTGACAGAATTTCTCATAAAATGATAGACATTTAACAACTTCCTTCTAGCCAGGTCAATGAAAAATACTTTCTAGAGCTCTGAAACATCAGAGTTCTTCTCGTCTCATCATTTTGTTGTTATTTCTTTTGAAGGCTTTGATTGCAGCCACATAGTCACCTCAGTGTTATCCTGTCTCTTCTGCCTTTGGGTCTTGGCTTTAAATTCAGCTATGTTTAAATAAGGGATCAGCATTTGGTTTATCAGCTGATGCCTGTTAAACTAATTCAGTTTCTAAAAATCTTTGAAAAATGGTGTGCCTGAAAACTAGTGAGAGAGAGAGAAAAAAACACTAAATATTAAACTGTAAAAAGGGAGATTCTAGCAACAATATTTGATGTGTAAAAGAATATATTATTAAAAAATTATTTTGTTAAATATAAAGTGTGTTAACCAGTGAACATTGTTTGTGGTATATTTTCCTGCCCGAGTTTCTCTACTCCTTCTTATTCAATGATGAACTCACAACAGCATCTGTCATCCAACAGCACATATGCCATTATAGCTGCAGCCAAATAGAATTAAGCTTTAACTCTAGTATTTGACTGAGTGCATTTCCATTTTACAAAATCTGAGGCAAGGCTGACTTTCGGAGGGGTGTCACAAAAGGAGGCTCAACTAAACTGCAAGTGACAGTGTTTCAGATGGTAGGGTCAAACACCTTTCCTCAGTCCACACCCATGTTCGGCACCACAGTGTTTGAGTGTGCAGGCATCCCAAGGACAGTGGCAGCTTCAGAGAATGCAGCATCATGTTCCATCTCCATAACACACCTTCAAGGAAGGATTCTGTGTTATAACTACTGAGAGGATAAGAATGTAAAAAAAAAAAATGTTTTATCTAACATCCTGAGATGAGAAGCAGCCATATAGAAATCTATTATGAAACTTTCAGTCAGAAAAATGGCATGAGTGTCCTTTAGTTCCTCATTGTCCTGATTCAGTAGTTACTGTAATTTTGCAGAATAGTTAACTTACTATTTTCTATCCAAAATATAAAGCATGAATCCATTCATCTCTGAAATGAAATAATCATCTCTCTCTTTTTTTTAAAAAAAGGTAGTATTTTCTTACAAAGATGTGTTATTATATTAACAAATCTAGGAAAATTAGTAACCTCATGACTGTCCAATATCCAGTCCATATTCAAAACTCTTAGCTTTTTTTTAAATGAGAAGTAAGCTTGGTTATATAATCCAAAATGGCCTTATATTTGGTTGGTGTGCCTCTTAAATCTATAATATAGATTTGAACTTTGCCAACCATAGCTAAAATCTCTGACAAGATTCCTGGGTTTGTTGTATTTGAAAATTTTTACTGGGAGTATTATTCTTTTAATGCTCATGTTCAACTTCAGCCTCAGTGACTGACTTACAATAAGCAACAAGTAGCAAGGCCCAGAGCAAACACCATTGCTTGCGACTAGTACCCAAAATACATACCTTTGTCTTTCGTGTACACAAACTCTACTTGGGGAATAAGAATGAACTCTTGTTGTCATGCTCTTTGAGACAAACTCACTGCATAACACAAAGCTATGTGGACAGTATTTTATAATAGCCATCAGTTTCTGCATTACTTGAGAAGGGAAAACATACCCACTGTTAAAACATCAGCATGGTGTAGGTAAGCACATAAAGACACACCTGTATCATGCCAATATTTCCACAAAACAAAATTAGACTTCCTTGTGCTTAAATTCCCTTACATTCAATTTTATACTCCCTATCTCCTTGAAGTTTCGTAGGACTAACACCTCAGAAGCCAGGGTGAGAACTGTGAACCAAGGCACAAATTTAATTAGTTGATGGTATTTGAAATTTTACTTGGAGAATAGTTCTCTCCTAAAGAAAAGTAATTTCACGATTGTGAAAGGCAAAACGTTATCTCTGAGTCACCAAACTCACCTGTGTTTTCTGACCACATTTTTTTTATATGTGCATGGGATTAACACCCACTTGTCCTATCTGGTATAAACACCTGAATGTCCCTGATCAATCTTATGCACCAAGAAGGCAGACTATTCAGTAGATAAAAGTTAAATGAATGGAATTGGGGGATGGGGAGGCAGATCAGTGGGTAAATGTTTGACACATAAGCAGGAAACTTGAGTTAAGATCCCAATTGCCCAGGTAAAAAACTGGGCATGGCTGTCCTGTGGATAGGGAAGTGAAAATAGGAGGATCT